TTACCATGTGTTTGATCGATCGGAATTGCAAACAAACAGCTTTTCGCTCGGGACATCCTCAACTTGTTGCTTTGCCGACCCTACGCGACTTCACTATTTACCACAGAAAATATTCGCCGGCCCTGCGCAAGTCGAGACCCGGCACAATTTTTACCAACTAAGAGAGAACCCCAGACCGGCGCCTTTTCTTGGCACGAAATGCGTCTCTCGAGTGCCCGTTTGAGGAAAATGTGGCCCTTACCTCGGATCCTCGATAAAAAATTGGGTCCGCAGTCGCGAGTTTGTCTTAGCCCAAACAGGGGTGCTGAGCGTTTTGCGCTTGAAGTTGTGAGGACATGGGAAAAACATATTTTTGCGTGCCCGCTCGAGAACGGCGTGCCCTACGTCCCCGATATCTCAGGATGTCTCGAGCGAAATGTTTGTTTTGTCGAGCTTGAGCGGCCTGGGCGCTCCAGGATGCCCAGGTGGTTCTGGGAGCCCGAAGTGCGGACACTGAGAAATTTACGAGGGAGCGCGGCCCTGGGAGCGCGGACGCAGCGTAGTTTACAAGGGATCGTGGCGCAGGGAGAGTGGACGCAGCGTAATGTACAGTGGATCGTGGCCCTGGGAGCGCGGGCGCAGCGTAATTTACAAATGATCCTGGCCCTGGGGGGGCGGACACAGCGTAATTTATTTGGGAACGTGGCCCTGGGAGCGTGGACACAGCGTAATTCACGAGGGAGCGCGGCCCTGGGAGCGCGGACGCGGTATAGTTTACGGGGGATTGTGGCCCCGGGGGAGCGGACGCGGCGTAATTCTTTACGCTTCGCGTATCCCCACCAGCCCATCTCACAGCAGCAACTCTTGCGAAGCATGCCGACAGTCGTGTTTTTCAGGCGTGTGTCCGCTTGGCCCCGCATATCTCCCCTGTTCCTCCTTCCTCCCGCCTCCTTGTACATCCTCCTTGTGGGGGGAGCGGGAGAAGGACGAGGCGGAGGAGGAGGGAGAGAAAGCGCTCCTCGTGATTTGAGTCGTTCGGGGTTTCTCGTCCTGGTGTGAGTCGTTCGGGCCCTTCTTCCTGGTGTGAGTCGTTCGGGCTCTTCGTGGTGTGAGTCGTTCGGGCTCTTCGTCCTGGTGTGAGTCGTTCGGGCTTCTCGTGGTGTGAGTTGTTCGGGCCCCTCATCCTGGTGTGAGTCGTTCGGGCCCCTCCTCCTGGTGTGACTCGTTCGGGCTCCTCGTGGTGTGAGTCGTTCGGGGCCCGCGTCGTGGTGTGAGTCGTTCGGGCTCCTCGTGGTGTGAGTCGTTCGGGCGCCTCGTCCTGGTGTGAGTCGTTCGGGCCCCTCCTTGTGGTGTGAGTCGTTCGGGCTCTTCGTGGTGTGAGTCGTTCGGGCCCCTCGTCCTGGTGTGAGTCGTTCGGGCTCCTCGTGGGGCCTCTTGGGGGCCTCTTGGAGCCTCTTGGGGCCTCTTGGGGGCCTCTTGGGGGCCTCTTGGGGGCCTCTTGGGGGCCTCTTGGGGCCTCTTGGGGCCTCTTGGGGGCCTCTTGGGGGCCTCTTGGGGGCCTTGGGGCCTCTTGGGGGCCTCTTGGGGGCCTCTTGGAGGCCTCTTGGGAGCCTCCTGGGGGCCTCTTGGGGCCATCTTGGGGCCTCTTGCGACCTCCTCTGAAGCGCAAAGGAGCGCTGCCCCCTGAAAAGAACAAATTGAGCCCAAAACCTTAGTAAAATCAATGGTTTTGCTATGAGGGAAGATAAGCGCGGCCCCCTCAGGACGCCAAAATGGGCCAAAACCTTAGTAAAATCAATGATTTCTGCTTCAAAGACGAGCAGAGCCAAACTGCCTCCCCCCGTCGGGGCCAGAATCCTCGTGAGGGTAGTCGTTTTTTGGCCCTCCCAGGAGTCGAAAAAGAGCCCCCTGCCACCACCCCGGACTCCCTGTCCAGGTCCAGGGGGAGGGGGTAGGGGGAGGGGTAAACCCCTCCCCGAAGGGGAAGAAGGGGGTTGAGAACAGAGCGGGCTCTCTAAACCACTCACGCCCAAAGGGCTGGTGGGATTTACGAGGGGTCGTGGCCCTGGGAACGTGGACGCAGCGTAATTTGCTATGGATCGTGGCGTTGGGAGCGCGGACGCAGCGTACTTTACGAGGGGTTCTGGCCCTGGGTCAGGGACGTCTCGTGGCACGTTCCCTGACGCGTTCCCTAGCACGTTCCCTGGCGCGTCGCCTGGCGCGTTCCCTAGCACGTTCCCTAGCACGTTCCGTGGCGCGTCCCGTGGCGAGTCCCCCTGGCAAGTCGCGCGGCGCATCTCCTGGCACGTCCCCTGGCACGTCCCATAGCACGTCCATTGGCACGTTCCGTAGCGCGTCCCCATGGCACGTCCCACGGTGCGTCCCGATGGCGCGTCCCCTGGCACATCCCCTGGCGCGTCCCTTGAGACGTTCCGCGGCGCGTCTCCCAGGCATTTCCCCCTGGCATCGCCCAATTGCATATGCAGTTTAGGTACTTAGAAACAGTTCCATGCCGCGCAGTTCTCACTCCCTTTCTAGGTTCGTGGGTCGATCATATTGCAAGAGTCGCGGGTTTTCTCCCAGAAGGGGCGTGGGTCCAGGGTCTTTTCTAGATGTTTTAACCACTGGCCTCGAGTTGAGGTGAACTGGCTGATTTTTTCTGTTATAAATAATAAGGATATGGTGAGCCCGCGGATCTTTTTCCGCGTATGTCTTCGTTTCGGCGCCTTCATGGGCCGTCTGGGGCGCGCCCAGGGGGGCCCTGGAGGGCCTCCCCCCCCTCCCCCCCTATAGCGTAACGCCCCTCCACCCCCAGTGCGCTCTGGGCACTGCCGCCGTGCGCATCGGGATCCACATCGGCGTCCGCATAGGAATCTGCATTTGAGGAGGAGGAGGAGGAGGAGCAGGAGGAGGAGGAGGATGAGGAGGAGGAGATCAGGAGGAGGAGGAGGAGGAGCAGGAGGAGGAGGGAGAAGAGAAGAACGTCGCATTATATTATTAGCACTTTCCTGGCGTAGCGTTTATCTGTCGGCAGCAGCTCCTCACCTACATGCTCGTTCTACCTGTCCTGTGCACGCAAGCGCAGTGGTGTACACCAGCGCCGCGTGCACGCAGATGCTGTGGTGTAGCCCGAGCTATGATGAGCTATGCGTTCTGACAGCTCAAGCTTGAGGTCCAAAGCAGTTCGGTCAGGATTATGATGCCAAGGACGGGCATACCCACAATACACCAGCGCACGGGACAGTTCAACGCGGCCCTGGTGCGTCCCCTGGCACTTCCACTGGCACGTTCCGTGGCGCGTCCCTGGCACGTCATTATGTTGCGCGGCACAGCGCAGAGCAGCGCAACACAGCCCTGAGCATCATACCATCACCATTCATATCCTCAGCATTGCCGCTTCCAATCGCCCATTTGAGGTGCTTGGAAACGTTCCCATGCCTCACAGTTCTTTTCTGGGTTCGTGAGGCTCGATCACGTTTGCCCCGTACTACGGATCCTGGGTCTTCCGTTGTCGGCCCGCTTTCTCTTCCATTTGGTTTGCTCCTTCTCTGCTCCCCGATTTCCTCTTCTACCGCTGCTTCTGCTCTCTCTCTCTCTCTCTGTCGCCCGGTCCTCCTCTCCCATTCTCCATCTTCGCTTCGCTCCAGGCCAGCCCAATACATACGCCTCCTGTTCGGCACAAGCCCCTCCCTGCCGACAACACCAGTACTACCAATGCCGACTTCGGTACTGTACCGTTGTACTGTGGTCATGGGTCGAAGTTTCTCATTCAATCTGAGTTGTTCTTGGAGATGTTGTCGGTGCAACCCGCAGCGTCAGCTCTCCCATATCTTCCCCGATCCCCCCCAGTCTCCCTCCTTTCGCACCCCTCTCGGGCAGCGGGGAGGGGAAGCGGCAAGGATGATGGCGGGATGGACACAAGGGCGACTCCTCCGTACGCCTCATCCTCCTTCGCCTCCTCGCGCATCCTCGTCCTCCTTCATATCATATCTCTGATCTCCCCCCCGCCTCATCCCTCCCTGCTCGCCCTGATCCCCGTCCTTCACATTGTCCTCTGCTTACACTCGTCCTCATTAGCATCTTCCTCAACCTCTTCTCTCTTCCCTCCTCTGTCCGCTAGTTTCCTTCGGCTTGCCTTCCTCACGGTTGTTCGCTTCGATTGCTACTTAGGCGGGCTGGGATGATTGTGGAAAAGGGATGAGAAATCTGAAGATGAGGAGTCATATGCTCCAATTCGGCCGAATGGTGCATTATGGTGTCCAGTGGAACTTGCTTGGCTTGTTTGTATTGACATACGATGGTCGAGGTTGCTGTTGCGTCTGGCGTCTGGGTCCGTCCCTCTCGGCTTTTCGGGCCCTCGGGCTGGCCCTCCTCGGGTCCTCTCCGGTGTCTCCGCGCGACAGCGTTCCAGCGAGCTGGGACCACGCCTGGATAGAACGTACCCTCCACCCCTCACAGTAGCGGCTACCGGTGGCCCCCTCCTCGTCTCAGTCCGCTCATTTGCTATTGTGTATCCTCCCAACGAATCGAGTATGCGCATGGAGGTTCCAAAGTGGCCTGGCTACGGCAAGGCCATCACATCGATGGCAGACCTCCGTCTTTCAGGTGCTGCTTCTCCTCTCCCTGCCCCAGGCGTGAAGGGGTACCCAACGTTCTGGCCAAACCCTGCATCGGCGAGATCTCGAGGACAGTCAGGGAGCGTGTGTCACCAAAGTTTGTTTGCGTGTTCGTGGAGGTGGCCAGTGGGAAAAGCCCAGAAGGTCATCTTCCTCTCCTTCTCGTGAGGCGGGTGGTGGGCGAATCCAGGCCTCCCAAATCGGGCCAGGGCAGATGGGTTTGGAGGACCGCACCGCTTCGCCGATGCATCGGCGCGATCTGGAGCCCGTTCTTCTCCATCCCGCCGTCGCCAATGCGCCGCCCATGCATCGGCGATGCGGCACGACCCTCCGCCCCCATCTGCTCCTGCCCCTCTTGGCAGGCCTGCGGTGAAGCGGCCGGCTATGCCCTGCTGCACTGGCCAGGCCCATCGTCGCCAGGCTGGAGCACATTGAGGAGCTCATCCGCGCGACGTGCCGCCCCCCCCCCCGCGGCGCCGCCCGGTTCTGGCCAGCCGCGCCCGCGCGCCTCCGCCTCGGCCTGCGGGCTCCACCTTGGTGTGGACGGACGGAGGAGGGTGAGGGGGCAAGGGAAGACGTGGGAGGAGGGAGGGGGGGGGGAAGGAGGAAGGTCCTGAGGAGGAGGGGGAGGAGGAGGCGGAGGTATGGAAGGAGGGACGAGGGAGAGAGGGAGGGAGAGTCGAGGATAGTGGTTTGGAAGTAGTTCGTCAACATTTGGGACTCCCAGGTTTGTTTTTCTGGTGGTGGTGGTGGTGGGGGCTATGGCGGATGTTTTGACCTACGCCAGTGGCTTTGCATTGTCGCTTGTGCCCACCAGGCTTCTGCGCGATCCAGACGGAGGCTTCATGGACGACGGCCTCATAGGCAGGCGGGTGGGCTGAGACGGAGTCTGCGCGAGGGGTGGCGACCAGGGGACGCCATGATACGATGCATGCAATAATGACGGTGATGGTGTAGTCGTGATGATGGTGGTGATGATGCCCACGACGACGAGGATGGGGAGGAGCAGGATGAGGCCGCGGAGGCCGAGGAGCATGATACGCAAGACAGGATGACAAGGCAGCAGCATGAGGAGGACCTTCCAGGTGCGGTGGGCAGTCTGTGAGCTCAATGTGAACACACAGGCGCCCATCATCACCAGGCCTTTGAGGCATGATCGGGGGCGCGATGGCGAGCAGACACCAGCGCGCGCCGAGGACGTCCAGGAGAGAGGAGAGGGTGGGTGGTGGTGCAGGGAGAGCAGGGAGGGCGGCTGATGGATCGGACATCCTTCCCTCCTCCTGGGACGGTGTCGCTCCTGCGGCAGGCGACTCGCGGGAGACCCAGAGCAGCGAGAACAGGAGGCTGGAGCGCGTGAGGTTATTCAATCGCTTCGCTCATTCCGCCGGCCCGTATTGTGCCATCGTTGGCGTTCGCGTGCGCGTTCGTGGGCCATGCGGCGCTGCTGGTCGGCGCTGCTTCGGTTGTGGGTGAGACTCCTCATGGATGCTTCATGGTGTCTCTTCGGAGGGTTCCCGGGGGGCTCCTGTGAGGCAGTTAGGGGCCTCCTGGGGGCGCGTTGGATGCCTCTTGAGGCTCTGTTGGCGTCTCTTGGAGGCCTCTTGGACCCAGGGCCGCTTGGGGCTGCCTGGACGCCTCTTGGGGCCGAGGTCTCGAAATTCCTGTTCGACTTCCTCCTTCTGGGCCCCCTCTTGGGGCCGTCCTCGGGCTCTCTCTGTCCGTCTTGGAGGCCTCTGGGGCTGTCTTGGGGCCCTCTGGGGCCGTGGTGGGGTTCTCTTGGAGGCCTCTTAGGCCTTCTTGGAGTGATCTCAGGGGCTTCGTGGCTGTCCTATAGCGTCGGCGGCCGAAATGGTGAGAACGCTGAAAACCTTCAAGAATCTATGGACAATCATTGACCTTGCCTCTAGGTGGCTTCTTGGGAGTGGTATTGGAGGCATGCTCGAGGCGGTTCAAGCCGTCTGGAGGCTATTTTGGGCCGCCGTGAAGGCCCCTTGAGACGCTTCTGAAATCCCTGAAGGCAGCCCCCAGGAGTTCTGGCATCCGTGACGGGGACCGCCCGGGGACCGCCCTGGATTTGCATGGGGTGCTTCTCGTCCGAGGACCCCCCGGGGGCAGCCACGCGCGCACGAACCAGAAGTCCAGAGATTTTAGCGTGCCTTGGGCCCGTTGGGCCGGCGAATTCAGCGCGGAGTTCGAGGAGCCCATGGGACGGGGAGCGGGGGGGCATATGATGATGACGATGGGGAGGGGGGGGAGGAGGAGGAGGGGGAGGACAGTCTTTGTCTGGTGCTCTTCTCGGGGGCTCCAGCGAGTCTCAGAGGGCGCCACTCCTGGGGCCCAGGGTGCAGAAATCTTCAGGGAGCACTGGGGGGAAGGCAGAAGCCAGGAAGGGTCGGAGGAGCGGAGGAGCGAGGAGAGGGAGCAGGAGGGAGCGGGACGGAGGTGGAAAGGGGGATGAACAGGTAGAGGGCGGAGGGGCGGGGACGAATGATGGGGGGAGGGGAAGGAGGAGGAGGAGGAGGAGGAGGAGGAGGAGGAGGAGGAGGAGGAAAAGGGCTCTCTCCTCGATAGACCCTCTCCTCGACACCTTCTCACATTTGCAGCCAGCTACGTTCTGTCAATACGGACATACAGAAGGCATAACGACCTTACGCCAGCCTCTCACCTTGGGCTTCGAGCGCCCCGTTTTTCTCATAGCATCAGTACCTGGACTGGCCCAACACAAGCGGCACAGTTCTTTCCTAGGGCTGAGGCTACATTCTCTGGGGAGGACGACTGGCTTACATCACGACCGCCTCAACCCTTCGGCGTCCTGACGCCCGTTTTCTTGCAGCACCAGTACGTAGACTGCCCTAACGAAAGCGGTACAGCTCTTTTACATGGCTAATGCTACACCATGGCCAGCTTACATGTGCGTCTCTATACTATACTCTTGCATTCCGATGGCAGTACTCGTCGGGAGGTGAAAGTAACTGCAAGAGGTGGCGTGGACTGCATACTGTCTAGGTTTCTTGTTCTACAGCGTTTGACACGTGAGCAATTTACCCGCGCGCCCGCTGCTGCAACAACGCACCTTGCCAGTATTGTTCCCGCAGCATTTACCTAACACGTGAGATGAGGTCCCTATGGAGGTTTCACACACTTATACGACTTGTGGTGTATCACACTAAGGTAGATGCTGGGACGCTTGCTCGCCAGTCTGCATCCCGTCCCTTGCATTACAGCCACTGATTCACCAACCGAGGCGGCACTACCAAGAGATCTAACGGGCTTATATTAAGGTTTATAGGTGCTTAGGTCTATCTTGGGTTAAGTTACTAAAGTCTGTGCCGTTATCTCAGGCCTGGCGGGCGCCTACTCGTCTGGTTTCTCTTTTCCTGCCCTCGTCTTCACGTTGCCCGCGGCGCCCGCCAGGTCCCTCTGTTGATGTGCCGAGTCGAGTGAGTAGTACGTAGTTCGTGCGCTACTTTCAAGAACACCACAGGCACTGCCTAAGGTTTGTTTAACGTAAGAAACTCGGAGACGGAGAGAAGAAGGAAAAGGGCAGATCAGGATGGGGAGGATCACGAAGAAGGTGGAGAAGTCCGACACCCTCAGTATGTGGATCCCTCGTCAGGTTTTTTGTTTGTGAGCGATTGGAGCGCTCCAGAGTGGCAGCGGCATCCCTTGCGTGCACATTTTTGGTCCGCCGGTTCCCAGCGATCCCCGAGTTGTTCGTATCCGATTCGTTAGTTTTCTGCCTTCGTCTCAGGAAGTTCCCGATCCCACGTCGTGAAAAGCACAAAGGCGTAGCAAATCGCAAACGGAGTTGCCGACCTCTTGTTCATGTGGGAGTTTTCGAGCCAGGTCGTGGTCCTGGGGCCCCAAACGGGGTGAACACACCCGTCGCGATCTTGTCACGATGTCCAGGTTTGAGGGGAGGAGTGGCACGTTTGTACAGGTGGCGCGAAGGTTGGGTCTTCTACCTTGGACGGGATTCGTTCTTGGCACGTAAGCGGAGCTTCTGGCGCTGAAGCCCGTGTTGTGCTCAAGGTCGTCATTCGGCCGATTATCGGGCTTTTGGGGTCGCCTCGCGGGCCGAGCCCCGGTGCCAGCGTCCCCCCACCCCCGCGCGGCTGGCGCTCGGCCGCTCAAGAGGAGCCGGTCATCGTTGAGGAGAGCTTGTTGGCGGCGGAGAGCCAGAAGTGGATCAGGCGGTCCCTCCCCCTCCTCCGTCCCCCTTCCCTCATTCATCCTCGTCCAATTTTTGCTCTTCCTCCTCCTCCTGCTCCTCTTCCTCCTCCTCCGCCTTCCCTTCCGCACCATGAAGGACACGAGTCATGAGTTTTTCCCCTCATGACCCCTGCCCCGCAGGGCAATCTCTCCTTACTCGGCAAGACACGTGCCCCGAAGGTCTCCGATCCGATCCGATCCTCCTCCATCCCCCCCTTCCCTCTGCCCGCCGTTCTCCTACTCCGGCCCCTCCGCCACATGTCCTCCTACTCCTTCGGGGGCGGAAAAGAGGGGGGTGATGACTAGGGGGGGTGGATATCATGGCGGGGGCCATGATATTTCCCCAGATTTCATGGCGCCCCTTCTTATTTCATTATGTCCCCGGCCCCCCCGCTGGGCCGCGCACATGCCGCCCGTCATGATTTGCACCCCCCCCTCTTGGACACCCCCCTCTTTGCCGCCCCCGACTCCTCCGCCACATGCTCCTCCACCTCCTCCGCCTCCACCTCATCAGGACTTGTCTCCTTTCCTCCCCCCTCTTTCTACTGTGCCCCTCAGTCCTCCCCCGACGGGGAGACCCGAGGGAGGGAGGAAGGGGCGGGGTGGAGAGCGGAGAGATGGACGGAGGGAGAGGGAGGTATTGAGTAAATTGCATCACTCAGCTTTCTCGGGGAAGCCGAAGCGGAGCGTAGGGTGTAGGTCATACGATTAAAACAATATCCCGTATAGTACTAAGCATACTAATTTAAAGAAGAGACAAGTAGTCATGATAAGACACATGAGGATACGAGTGCAGCCGTTGTCCTATTCCAGCTGTGCACTCAAGCCCATGTGGGTGCCATCAGGGCAGGGCATCAACATCCCCGAGTGGATTCCCTCGTGGCGTGCTTCGGGTGCTCGCGCATGTTGAGGCAATGGTGAGGCCATGCTGAGGCACTCAGGTCAGGACCTCAACATTTCCCCGCCGCGATTCCCGCGTGGCAGGCTCGGATCTTTTGATCATGTTGATGGCGCTTTGAGGCCACGTTGAGACCCTCAGGCGTGGATTTCAACATCCCCCCGACGTGACATCCCAAAATCAAGCTTGGATTCTGGGGCAAATGTCCAGGCCATGTTGAGGCCTTCAGGCCAGGGCTCACGATCCCCTTGACGTGGAATCCATAATGCAGGCATAAAAAGTAGTGCCCATGCTGAGGCCATGCTGAGGCAACGCTGGAGCCTTGCCGTCAGGGCCTGAAATATGTTTTGGCTCTGGGGCCATGTTGAAGCCCTGCCGCCAGGGCTTCCACATCTCCCCGTCTTGATTCCCGCATCGTGTGCTTGGATTCTGGGACCACGTTGACGCCATGTTGAAGCCCTGGAGCTTCAACATCCCCCAACTGGAAATCCGTATCGCATGCGTGAATTATGGGGGTCACGTTGAAGCCATGTTAAAGCCCGTACATCACGGCAGCTCCATCCCACCGACTGGAAATCCGCATTGTTTGTCTGGATTCCGGGGCTATTTTGAAGCCATGCTGAGACATTGTTGCAGCCCTGCCGCCAGTGCCCCGCATCTCCCCGACAGGAAATCCGCATCGCGTGCTTGGACTACTTGGCCATGTTGTAGCCATGTTGAAGCCCTGCCGTCAGGGCTTCTACACCCCTCCGACAGGAAATCCGCATAGCATATTTGGAGTCATGTTGAAGACATGTTGAAACCATGTTGAAGCCCTGTCGTCACGGCTTCAACATCCCCCCGACTGGAAATCGTAATGGTATGTTTGGGCTCTGGGGCCATGTTGAAACCATGTTGGGGCCCTCTCGCCAGGGCTCCAACGTCCCCCCAGCTGGAAATCCGAATAGCTTGGTTGGATCATGGGTCCATGTTGAAGCCCTTCCTATTTTGGCTATGATCACATGTAAAGGGTACGCACGCGGGCTTCAACATGCACCCAGGGCAGCCCAGTGGGGATCGGCGGGCGCGCCCTGCTGCGACGCGCCAGCATGCTTGTCCAGCCCTTCTCCCAAAGTCGGACCCCCCGCGAGGTGGCGGACAAAACCCAGTCCTCATGCCCCTCCCCCGAAATCGGACCCCCGTGGTTTGGCGGACAAGCATCAATTTTCATGCGGTCGCCGCCGTTGTCATTCAACTGTTTCGGGCGCCACAGCATGGACCTGCAGGGGCTGTGGGCGTCGTGGAACTTGTCGACGTACTTCTCATTTTCTGTCATACCTTTGTTGAAGCTGCGCCAGTTCTTGCGCGGTTTTGCTTTCTTGCACAATGGCTTCGCTAGGATGTACATCCAAACTTTCGCGGCCAGGGTCGCTATTTGCGAAGACGCATGCTGACATGCTAACCATTATTTCAACGCTATCCTATCGACGACGCAACTGTGTCGATATGCTGGAACTCTGCGGCGGAATCGGAGGAATCTCTCAGCTTGCATTCAATCGTCGTCTATCGTCGGGTGGCAATCTCGATGCACGGACCGGCGTGAGTCTTGGCGGTTGGAAGGTACAGCAGGTGACACTACACTACTTGCGCACGTGCAGAGTAGGTTTGGTGATCTTGCAGCCCTCCTGCCGCGCAACGGGTTTACCGTCCTATTCCAGCGCCATGGTTAGCTACAACACTTGGTGGGAACACCAGAAGTAAGATTTGCAACGCATTATTTTTTCGCGGCACCGCTGCGAAAACCCAACATGACCTTCATCGGCTTTAGCTGCGGGGGCATCGGACGGGCGCCTGGATTGTTAGAGTACTTGTTTTGCGCACACTGCTGGAACGCAATCACAACTACAAGGCTACGATAGATCAGCGCGCTGCGGGGTCGCGGGAATGGCGAGGAACCATTGTCGAAAAACTGGCCACATCATGGGTAATCCTTCCGACCTCTTAAACCTTTTTATGGTTTTAGATGCTGCGGCCGCCGCGAACATGCGCGGATATGCAACGGGGAACGTGCCGCGGCACAGCGGCGCGCGCACGCCCTGCAATCGCTGTTCGCCGATGCTGTTCGCATTGCGCATTGCGAAGAAGCAAGTGGAGTCGCCTGTCGACCCTTTTCTAGCAAGCGGGAACGCACCCCAGTCTATTTCGTGAATAGTGTTTGCTTCTATTTGGATGCCGAAGACATTTCCCGCGCGCCGACCTGCGCCGGGCGATCTTGGCTGCCCAGCGCGCGTGGGCAATATCCGAATGGACTAATCATACCATGCGTGGGATCTACGAACCTGCCGACGGTTTGATGCTGAGTGCGAGACTTGTAACCTTACCTGCGGGTCGATCAAGGCAGGACACCTGCGAACTCCTGGCGCATGCAGCTTTGCAGTGCCATTCGAACTGCCTGCCATTCCGCCTCGACCACCGGCGGGGGCGCCAGACCCACCGGCACCGCAAGGGGCACCAACGGTGCCGGCACGTCCAATTGGCAGGTGGTCTGCACTTGCGAATAGTGGATATTTCAGCCCTCAACCACAACCTAGCGCTGATGCTACTGGCGGCGCTGGAAGTCATGACATGACACGCGGGGTCCACGCGGATGGATGAGCAGCTCCCAGTGGTTGACGCGGACGCATAGAACGCGGGGAACCGCCACCATATGCAATTGACGCCGCCGCGGAAACGCGAATTCCAAAGCTGCCCGACTTGGCTTGTTTTGATGGCCAGGCCAGTCTGCAGAACCTCCCAAGCTTTGAGCCGGTTGCTGTCCAGAAGGAGCTCCGGCAGCTACACTTGAGTTGGCATCGTGCTATGTCGCCCGTGATGAGGCTCCGTCACTCTGACAGTCTCAAGCTCATCAATGGCGGGTGCGCGTGGGGCAAGTCAGGCAATGCCGCGACTCCATCGGTCGCTCTACCTGGGAACGTCAACGAAACTGCGAATGCTACCTTTCTTCTATACAGCGCATGTCGTCGTCCACATAATAGGCCGTTGCATTGAGTTCGCGGCCGGCCTGGGGAAATCCAGACAAAACGACGAAGTCGGTACTTGACGCATGTCATTTCGCGCGGCTGCAGCATGGTCCGGCAAAACTCTGGCATTCGGATGGCGTGGGCGCTGAGTGCCCACGCAGCCAAGGACAACTTCAAACATAAAGGCACCGATCTTCGGATCCGAGCGCGTGGCCAACATGCTACGACCATGGGTCAAGAGAAGGGATCCTCTGATGCACCATGGTCACGATGGAGGAATGCTTACAACGACGCGGGCTGCCATTGAGTTCGCCCGTTTGCCTCATAAAGCCATGTTTGTGACGAAAGCCTTCGCCTTTGCATCGTCGCGTCTCCGCGCCGAGCTCCACGTGGCCGGCGGCCAGCGCGTCCACCAGATCTGCCGACGCCCGACTACGACCGAGAGACGGAGACGCCCGGGAACAGCGGATGCGCGAGGTTTGCCTAGAAGCGATTGCTCAAGTCGCCGCAGTAGCCAGAACCACTATGGCACTGCGACCGACCGGCCACAACGAGAGACGACAAGGGAGGTTAGAGCGGCCCTTGCCCAGTCGCGCGTAATTACCCCGAGCGGGGACAAGTCGTCGCGAGGTTCGGCAATCGCGAAGTGGCCGCTCAGCATCCAGACCTACGTCGCACCAAGTACAGCGAAGTGTTGATGGTTCGAGAACTTGGCTCTGAGAAGCAGCGCTTTTTTCGCGGCACTTGCGTTTGTCGCGAGCCTGTCTGCGGGAAGACCTGCGGTGACCACCGTGCACCTACCAACTAAGCAATGGGACCTGCGAAGCGCCACTGCCGGCAAGCTCCCACCAAACCAAAGGTACATGTTGCTCTTCAGTACCTGAGCCGAAATTCTTTTCGGATCGAGAACGCGGCCGCAGTCCGCTATGGACATGCGCCGACTGTCCGCTGTCACTTGCGCCGTCAGCTGCGCTCTGGTTCATTGCGATAGCGACGCAACACCATGGCGTCACGATTGCGAGTCGAGTGGCGCTGCTCTCGAAATTATATAGGGTCTACACACGCACGGGTGATGCAGTGCCCG